TTTTTTTCATCTGAAACGTGCAGCGATTTATTTTCCAAAGCCACTCATATAATGCAGAAACACTCATGAAGCAAGCAAAACGTGCACCGCGCACACGTATTTGTAGGCTACTGGTGCAGAATTAGAGGGACAAGTACAGTACAGCCTTACGCATTTCACACAGGCTGTTAGTTTCACTTTCGCCAGAAAGTCGTGTATGCTTAAGGGTGAAAATAAATGACGTTTATAGTGAATGCCCCTATAAATTGTCTTATATTTATGATTTAGTTTTAATACAAATGATGCTTGCTAAGTGAGCGAATATCAATAAAGATCACACAACAGAAGTGCGCTCTCTCTCTCTCTCTCTCTCTCCCTCCCTACCATTAAGTAACTTGTGCATTGTTTTACTTACTTCTTTTTGACATATCCGACCGAACTACAAACTTTCCAGTGATGTCTGTGAGAAAGGGATATTCACTCGACAAGCTTGCGCATCTGCGCCGCAGCTCGCTCAATCCACTCAGCGTGATTTGCTTACCAGCTGGCGCAAATCAGCTATACAGGCATTAATACTGAATGTTTTATATTCATTGCATACATATACTTCGTAGACATCTTTAATCTCTAATAACTCCATTCTGCTGTCTGTTGTCGGTGTTTCTTTGTCTGAATATGGCACTTATCACATGCTGTGTGGTATTGGCGTTTGGTATCGGGGCATTTTAACGAGTACGAGTACGAGTACAGGAGCTCAGTATCGGCCCGATACCGATACCAGTATCGGTATCGGTGCATCCCTAATAAGAACCATTGCTCATAACTGTACATCAAATCAGAATAAGCATATTAGTATAATACGAGCCTTCATTTAACAATGTAAGAAAATCCTAATTATTCCAATTTTTGACCGAAAGTGTATAAGCAAATTTGTCTCTCTATAACACTAAACCCGTGCCCCTTTGCTCGAGGCTGCACTCCTTACCATGAGGTCCAGCATGCCATTCTTCAGAATGAAGTTGTTAGTGCCCTCAATAGTGTCTCGGTCCTCTAGCGATGTGTAATTGATGCAGGAGTCTGTCAGACTTCGGGGAAGGTTGGAGCAGGCCAGCGGCTCACATGGCATCTCAGGGATGGGAATGGGGTTACACAGTTTCTTAATGTGCTCTGTGAAGAAATCTGTGTAGCCTACATTAAAGGAAGCCACAGTTGTGTTAAATGTAGCCATGGTGATGGTGGAGATCTGGGAACGAACTGAGAAAGAAGTCAATGAGTCAAAAGCACAAATGATTATTAACAATTCAAATATATTTGTATATTTATTTTTTTCTCTAAAATGTTCAGCGAACCCACTAGCATCTCACTGTGGCCCGTAGTTTGAAAACCCCTGTTGTATTTTATTAATCTTTATTAATTCCATGAAAGATTAACTGCAATAGATTTAGAATTAATACTGGTGATAGTGCTATTTATTTGCTTACCACCCTCTTTGATGGTATTGTCACTGTGACTGTTGGAGTGTTCAGGCAAGTTGTGGTGGGAGTGAAAATGTTTTGCTCCAAGACTGTCCACATCTCCGGCAGTATCTGAGCTTCCACGACGTGTTAACTTCCCTTCAACACAACAAAACACAACCACAATATGACAATAATTTGAAACCAACCTCAAACAAGTGCAAGCAATTTGTGAATGCACAATTTGTATGGGCAGGGCAAATGCATTAAACCATAAAGCACAGAATCCCAAAAAATGTAAATAAAATTTGGGAAAAGGGCCCAATTACTTTACAAAAATGTTTAATAAATTATTCAAATTATTAAATTGTTAAAGTTTCATGAAAGTTTTTTGATGATTCAAAGTTAGAGCACTAAAACTGTCTAGAAAAAACAGCATAAAGAAATAAAATGGATTTCATAGGACCCTACATACCCATGATAGTGGAAGGCCAACCCCCACGGTCCAGTGTGCGACGGTCATCTCCCAGTCCAGAGAAGCTTCCGAATGAGAAGGTGCTACATGTGGGTGAGACATCCAGGTGATCCTCGTGCATCAGGAAAGGTACACCCATTCGACGCTGGCGTTTCTTCCCAGTATGGTGGAATGGGATAGAGCCTTTTCTCTCTCGATCTTCTCTACGGTTCTTAAACTGGAAAAAAAGTCAAAAAAGGTGCAAGAATAATAGAATAAAGTGCATAGTGGCATAGTGAAAGTTAAATGTCAAGAAAATGATATCAACATTTTATTAGAGGTTTTGCAAAAATTAAAATATATCATATTGATTTACTGTCTGAAACTATGTATAAAAAATAATCTGCATACCTTTTTGAATATGTTCATACCCATCTCAGTGGAGAGGTCAGGGACTGCTGGTCTCCTGAGGTTGGTAATTGACACTTTAGAGAAGGTCTCAGAGCTCAAAGACCTGCTTTCCTCATTACATTTTAGAGTCATGTCCTTAGAAAAATGGCAAAGAAAAAAACTGGGTATCAGAGGTATGCATTTTTAAAAAACCTTTGACTTATGGTGGTTAAAATGTTGAATAATAGTATTTCAGTTCATTACACATCTTTTAAAGTAGCAATCGCACATCCTGATCGTGTATAATGAACTTTATTTTGTCCAAAATTAACAATTGTAAGATTGCTCAGTTATCCCTATTCCTCATTTACTAGTGGCATCTTTGTATTTTTATTTCTGGAGAGGCAAAATCAGTCAGCTGCCAAGTCTAACATGGGGGTACATACAAAACATCTAGTAATTTTATATCAAGCAAAAATGCATTTAAACCATCCACATCGAATGGCTTTATTATCTCACAAAACACAATTCATCAACAAAATATTAACTGAATATCATTAGTATCAGGGTAATTTTCCGTCTTGATTTACTTTTCACTATGTTCTGTGCCTGTTTGCCTGTGTTCCTCATCCTTTTTAATGTCCACAGTACACCTGTTCTGTTTTAACTTGATTACATTCCTGTTAAATAAGCCCTGTTTCTTCAGTTCCTTTGTTTGTTCTCATAAGTGCGTTTCTCCTACAATTTCCTGAGTGTCATTTGTGGATTTATAAAGGCTGTGTTTGTTACTTATCTCCATCGTTGTGTGCTTTAGTACACCCACCATAGCATGACAATTAGTACCATATCTGTAATTTTTCTTTATTGTTTTCTATCAGTATGGGTTTTTATTGAATGTATATCATCTGATATTAGATATTAAATTGTGCATTTAAATTTCCGTTATTTTTACATTAAGATTACTTTACATTAAGATTATCATCTTACACTTAACCTTTAAATATACAATCCAAAATGCAGCAAGTCTCAGAATATTTTTTTTTTTACTTTTAATTTTATAAAATGCTGTGATGCCTAAATTCACTTGTACTATATCACTGCATTGCAATGGATGTTTATATTTTTTTTGTCAAATTATCCAGATTGTATGGTATTTTAATATTGGCCATTATTGATTATCGACCATAGCATAAAAATAATAACCTGCTTATTTATATAAATATCTGCTGGGCTTTTAATATCTGATAACAGTTACATGTCTTCCACATAATACACAGTGTTGTAATGTGTATGTAATGTACAAGTTTATTTTATGGTAAAAACAAATCACAATTTTAAATGAATTAATGATCACAGAATGTATTTCAAAGCCTGGCCCCACCAGAACCTAATACAGATATGCCACTGCCCATTACCATCTGAAACTGCTATGTAAAAACACACAGTCAGTTACTAACATAGGCTTGTTACCTGTGTTTTGTGAGTATTAACCAAAGAAGGGGTAGCAGCCACCATGGAACTACTGCGGGGCCGTGGTAAGGGGGTTATCAGGGGCTCAGGGGGGCGTTCAGGCTTCTCCTGCAGTATCTGACGCAGCCGCTGCAGGTAGTATATGAGGGCCCAGTGCACACCCTCTTCTGTCCAGTGAGGCTGCATCAAGCAACGCAGCACTGCAACATCAAAATAGGTGGCATACCTTGCTTGCTGTGATACAGAGATGCCACCAGGTACTGAGAAACTTTCAGTCAAAGAAAGAGAGAGAGAGATTTGTTACAGAAAATAATGGTGAGAAAGAACAGAAGTTCAGACTGAGTTTGCTCAGGATTGTTGCTTGGCAACTGCAGTGCAAACACATGCACAGACTAACACTGTGACAGATGGGAGTCTGACTGGAACTGGACACTACTTATCTAGCCAACATAGGATGAGTTTCAAGAAAGAATGCTTTAAAATCTTTTCTTTTAGAAGATTGTAATAGATACACTTTTTGCCAACACTCTACAATAAGGTTCAATTTGTTAACATTATTTAGTATGTTAACAACTAAATTGTTAACATTTAACAAAAAATGTTAAATTTTTTTAACATTTTAAAGGTAAGGTACCAAAAAAAGGTATATATATATACATCGGGCATTAACGCATGCGATTAATTTTACAATCCTTAACGCGTAAAAATAATTTTACGCAATTAACGCAAAATTACTAAAGCACAATTTCTATTCTAGCCCTTTAACACAATTTTGCTTCTCTGCTTGCGATTAGATCATTTTAAGCCGCTAAACTCCGGGCAAGTTTTCAGTCCAATGATCCAGTAAGCGAATGCATTCAAACAATCCGTCCAAAACAGTGCTAATATAAAGAAAATCAGGCTCATTACATCAGAGATTGCAGAGAGAACAGAGACTAGCGTTGCGTTTTAAGTGAATTATTAATTCCAGTGTTTCGCTTTTAAACACGAGCTCTGTCATATTCTGTGATTGTCTCTGAAGAGCGCAAGCCCTCACACGTCGCGCTGTGTGAAGTACAGACTGAACGGAATGTCAACACATCCCACCGCTGTATGGCCAGATGAGACGCAAACTACGTTTTCTCAACTGGATAACCAGTCTCGCTAGTAAAGTTTTGATG